TATTATTTTTTATAATCTTATTATTATTTTAGTTTTTCGAAATTTTCAACAACTCCGGAAAACTCCAATCACATACGGACCTTGTATTTACATTTTTTTTGTTGTCCCGTGAAATATTGATATTTAAGTGCTTGATATGCATGTTTGATTTTCTGTATTTAATGCTAAATTTATAACCAATTCCTGTCGGCTACTTGTAATCGTAAATATTCAGTTGTTCGTTAGGATCGTGAAACTTTCGAAATTATAAACCGCATATCCAAATTGGGATAATAAATCTTCATATGAATACAAATTGAATATAAACTATTCCCTCCGTTTCACAGTATCTAACGTTTTAGGTTATTTTATATTTTTTAAAAAATAAAAAAGTTAGAAATACCCTTATTTAATATTTTTATTAATATATTTTTTTATGATTTCAATTAATAAAAGTCTTCGTTCTCTTAAATATTCAGTTTTTGATATTAATGTTTACTATAAACAATTATAAACAATTAGTCAAGAGGCAAACTCAAATTTGAAAAAAAAAATTTGGAGATAAAAAAAATTAAGATAAAAAACCTAAAAAAAATACAAAAATATGATATGAAATAAAAAAAATTGACGAACAGATGAAAAAAATGAAAAACAAACAATAATAATAATTGAAATATAATTAATATTCATTAAATTTTGATGATAAAAACAATATTATCATTAATAATTTATTGAAATTTGGTAGAAAAAAATTATAAATTATTGTAAAAAATTATTTTGAAAATGTAGAATGACAAATATTTTATAACATAGAAAATAATCTAAAACGCCAAATATTATAAAACGGAGGAATATAAGTTTGACATGTATCATACCCTAAAAATTATTGCTAAGAGAATAGGCATTGATCCTCTCTTGTAAACTTTTGAGATTTCTCCTAAAACCCTCGATATATACAGAATTATGAACTCACCCAACTTAGATAGCTCAACCGGTGAAACGAAGACGCAAACCATTTATCTCATCCCGAGTTCGAGACTCAAATTAGGGAAAAGAGCGTATATTCTAATCAGAGGGTTTGTTCTCATCTCCGAAATTAGTTTGAACCTCAGTCCAAGATATCTGATTATCTCCCAAAAAAATAATTCTGAACTCGGGAACAAAATTAATTTTATTTAACAATAATGTATACGGACCCATTGCTACATTTGCAGCCGCAGAGCTTGAGGCCGAGCGGATTTTATTCTAAGAATTACCAAAAAATGAGGCATTGAATGACTGGAGTTTTCCGTGATTTTCGAATATAAAAACCAAAATAAACCCTAAACCCTGGTTTTTTACTAGTTTAGTTTCACTGAGTGACTCTCATTTTTTTTTCAGCCATCCGATGATCTCATCTTTTTCTTTAACCGTTACCCAAGTTTTCCTCCTTAAATTACCATACTAACCTTATTATATCCGTTACCCAAGTTTTTCTCCCTAGATTACCATATCAACCTTGTTTTTTGAATTTGGATTAAATTAATCCGAACATCCGGCGTTTTACTCTTTTTAATATTTGAATTTTTATTTTTAATCATATATTTGATAACTCAACGATATTTTTAAAATAATTAGTAAAAACTTGATCCCAAATTTCTTTAATACATAATTAATATCCACTGAAAATTATCTCGCAAAATCCCACAAAGCTTCGATTTGGAATAGTAATATATTATATAATAATTAGTTAAACGGCTTGGGATTAGTTTGGGTGAGAAAGGCCCGATCCAAATCGGAGGCCCATAAGTTGGAAAGCCCAATAGAATTTACTAATCGGCCCATTTCTGACCCTATTTAACGGGTAAGCCAGGGCTAAAATCGTCTTTCAACGTTAAGAGGTTGTATGTTCGCCACCAAAAATAGGCGGACACGTGTCGTTACCAGCAGGAATTTGGGACCCCGGGGAAAACTAACGGGCAGGATCGACTTACGGCCATAGGATATAACGGGAACTTCCTTTTGTCTCCGTTAAAGGTTCGCTTTTCAAAAGAATTTGAACCCTTCAGGAGCGGGCGTTTCAGGATCCGGGAGCTTCTTCCTTCTTGTTCTGCTCTCTCTCGTTCTCGTCGCGTTCTTCGTTTTTTCCTCTTCGAGAATTCATCAGGTAAACGCTGTTTTGTTGTTTCTTATGGACTGCACCTGTTTGGTTACCAGGAAAAATGTTAGGAATTCGAAGAGTTCGAATCTGTGTTGAAGGATTTTCTTATTTGTTTTTCTGTTTCGGTTCTATTACGGGGGTAAGAATGTTTCGTCCGATGGATCGAATGAGGAGTTTCCTCTTTGCATCCGATTTTTGCGTGTTTGATCAGCTAAAAGATGGGGAGGATAAAATGGTGTTACGGATTTGGGAAAATTTTGATTGAATTTTATGAATTAATCTTGTCTTGCTTGATTACCTTCGAAAATGTTCGGGAAAAGGTAAGCAGTATGGATTTAGGAATGATCTATTGGAAATTGTCAGGTGATTTGTTTGGTTTCCTGGCAAATTTTGTTTCAAACTTCTCTGTTGAGCGTTTGCTATTCAGGTCTCCTTTTTGTTTTCCACTTTTTCATTTTTTAAAATTTGATTTCCATGACCTACTTGCTTGGTTTGTTTCCATAGATCGGAGATGGCAGATGGTGAAGATATTCAGCCTCTTGTCTGTGACAATGGAACAGGAATGGTTAAGGTAAGATTCTGTTAGTTGTAGACCAATGAATACGGAGTAAGTTGATGTTATGTACCATAATCTTCTCGCATTGATTCTCTGGTGCAGGCTGGGTTTGCGGGTGACGATGCTCCAAGAGCTGTTTTCCCCAGCATTGTAGGCCGTCCACGCCACACGGGTGTGATGGTCGGCATGGGCCAAAAGGATGCATACGTTGGTGATGAGGCTCAGTCTAAGCGTGGTATTTTGACTCTTAAATACCCAATTGAGCATGGCATTGTTAACAACTGGGACGACATGGAGAAGATATGGCATCACACATTCTACAACGAGCTTCGTGTTGCACCCGAGGAACACCCGGTTCTCCTCACGGAAGCCCCTCTCAATCCCAAGGCCAACCGTGAGAAGATGACCCAGATCATGTTCGAGACTTTCAACACCCCTGCTATGTATGTCGCCATCCAGGCTGTTCTCTCCCTCTATGCCAGTGGCCGTACAACTGGTCAGTAGACTCGCCCTCCTTCCCTGCAAGACTTAATAGTACCTGTTTTTTGTAGCTTTACGATTACAAAATGGCTCACCCGAAAATCCAATTTTTTGTTGTTGTTGAAACAGGTATTGTTTTGGACTCTGGGGATGGTGTCAGTCACACGGTTCCAATCTACGAGGGCTACGCTCTCCCCCACGCAATCCTTCGTCTGGACCTAGCAGGGCGTGACCTCACCGACCACCTCATGAAAATCTTAACCGAGCGCGGGTATTCATTCACCACCACGGCTGAACGCGAGATCGTGAGAGACATGAAGGAGAAGCTCGCCTATATCGCTCTAGACTACGAGCAAGAGCTGGAAACCGCCAACACCAGCTCCTCCGCCGAGAAAAGCTTCGAGCTGCCGGACGGGCAGGTGATCACCATCGGGGCGGAGCGTTTCCGATGCCCAGAAGTGCTGTTCCAGCCGTCGATGATAGGGATGGAAGCTGCAGGGATACACGAGACGACGTACAACTCGATCATGAAATGTGACGTGGACATAAGGAAGGACTTGTACGGGAACATTGTGCTGAGCGGGGGAACGACAATGTTCCCGGGGATAGGTGACAGAATGAGCAAGGAGATAACGGCGTTGGCACCGAGCAGCATGAAGATCAAAGTGGTGGCTCCGCCTGAGAGAAAGTACAGCGTCTGGATCGGCGGCTCCATCTTGGCTTCACTCAGCACTTTCCAGCAGGTACCCTTATTTTTCATTTTTCATTTATTTATTTTAATCGTTTGAATCCATCCAACTGAACCAAATCTAACATAACAACCGAACACATAATGTAAGAATAATTAAAATTTTAAATAGTCATTATTGATAATAAATTTGAAAGTAGAATACAATTTAAAAATTGAATGGTTATTTTTTTTAAAATCAAAATTACAGATGTGGATTGCGAAAGCGGAGTACGACGAATCCGGACCATCGATCGTGCACAGGAAATGCTTCTGATCTCGGGAGCACTCACTCACCAACTTTCCTTTTTTTCCCCACGTGTGTTTTTATTCTACGTCTCTGTAATTTTGCTTGAAGCAATTTAACTCAACTTTATTTTTCCCTTACACACACAATCACTTCACCAATATCACCGAGTTGGGGTCGCATTATCATGCAATGCAACAGTCATTTATAAGATGTGGGTCCCATCAAAGCGATTATCTTAGTATATAGATTTTATTGCATTTTGACCTGTATATTATGAAAACGAATTGGTACGTCTCAAAACATTGAAATGCGTAACTGTAGCATATGCCTTTATTAGAGGCATATGAAAGCTGTAAAACCAGGGTTTTTGCACAGGTGGCGTACGCAAGAGTCCGTATGAGTGACCACACGGAACAAATTTTTCGACGACAACGCATGGGATCGCGTTAGATCTGACCGTACATTTGCACGCGCGAAGAATCTGTGTAGATCCAACGGCTCTTAACTGCCCGAAAATCTAGCAAGGACTGACCTAAGATGGTGGATCTGGACCGTCTATCTCATGCGGGTCCCACCATCTCTCCACTTGTTAATCACGCGCTCAAATATCTTTCTCATTGGTCATACAACTTTTTCTTGTTCTCTTTGTTTACCGAATTGCCCCTATATCTCGATTTAATAGTAGGTAGCCCATAAAAGCCAAGAAATCCACGCTGCATTTGCCAATGTTCTTTTATTTAGTGTTTTTTTTTTTGGTTAGAAATAACAAATTAGAACCCAATGTTACTTTGTTTTCTTGATAGAAATGATAATTAGACAAAAACTTGAGATTAATTAAGGCAACACCATCTGAATTTGCACAGGAAAGGATTTGTAATATAAAATTTTCCACATTTGATTTAAGTTTATCTCGTAAACAAAAAAAAAATAATAAACCAATAAGAATAAGAACCAACCCAAAGAAGGAAAAGACACTCAATGAGAGAAAAAAATCATGACCAACACACAAAATGCTATACAACGCATGGCCAAGAGAACGCGTGTCTTCCGGCGACCGCCTGAACTTATATCGTCCGGCGGCGATGACAGCCGCGACGGCGAATCATCTGAACTCTCCGGCGACAGCGAGATCTCGTGCGGCGGAGAAGGATCGCCCGAACTCCCGCCTTGGCCCGAACCCGAACCCCGACCCGGAACTCCATCGAACAACTCCTTGGGCAAAAGCACCTTCGATATACCGAATATAGAAACCGGGTTCTGATCGAAAACCGTCTGGGTCACATGGGCGTGGACCACACCCGAATCAATCGTGATACCCGACCCGTTAACCCGGAAAATGTTCAACGTGTACGATCCGGCTCCCATCTCTTCCGTTGCCAACGTGGGCTGAACCGGGTTAGTGATGGATTCGAGCGATCCGAGTGGGTAATACGAATGGAGGACGTGGAATTTCAAGACGACGGCTTTTTGGTCGGCGGGGAGGGACTGGAGCCTCATGTTCGCCGGAAGATCCGAGAACGCGTCGTCGGTGGGGACGAAGACGGTGATTCCGGCGCCGCGCTCGTCGCTCTCGAAGTCGGCGATGACGCCGGAGGCAACGAGCATGGAGATCGCCACGTTGAAGTCGTGCCCGTTGATCAGCGCCTGCGTGATGTTGATCCCCGCCGTCGGTAGAGACGACGGCGATGACGGCGGAGGGGTTAGGCTCTCCGACGCTGTGAGGTCGATTCCGGCGGGGACGAGGAGGGAGTCGACGGAGAGGACAGTGACGATGTTCGGGGAAAGTGTCACGAGGAGGTTCAAAACGGTGACGTTTGAGGTCGGGGATCTGACGGAGACGGATCCGGTGGCCGGGTCTCGGGTCACGTTGACGGATCCGGATCCGGAGAAGGCGCGACCGGAGGCGTCGTAGAGGGTGGTGATGGTGGAGCCGGAGGGAGGGATGCGGCGGAGATCTGAGTCGGATAGGAACTGGAGGAGGACGTGGAAGCGGAGGAGGTCGGCGAGGGAGGACGGAGGGAGGCGGCGGGCGAGGCTTACGGCGGAGGAGGAGAGGTGAGAGTTCGGAACGGCTAGAAGGGTGATGGAGCTCCGGCCGGCGAGCTCCGCCGCCACGCCGGAGGAGGCGAGGAGTCCGGCGAAGGTGGAGAGATCAGGGAATGGGGAGAGGACGGCGGTGATGTTGATGGCGGAGACGGTGGCGGATAGGAGTAGTAAATACGCCAATGCGATGGGGGCAAAACGGGAAATGGAAATTACGACCGCCATTTTTTAGCCTTTTGTTTTCCTTGTGGTCAGAGAGAGTGGAGTGAGGAGCAGAGGAAGCAGAAGAGAGATTTGGTGACGAGAGTTAAAGCTCTTTGATGGTTAGACCACGCGCGAACGAACAGAGCGTTGAGTCCACGCGCGAAGAAATGTTGAAAAGGAGATGCTTTAGAAAAAAAGGGCAGGACAGATGCCAGAGGAAGATGCTCAAGGGGGGGAGACCAGTTTGTATGTAAAGACAGATTAAAGGAGATTGGTGGAGCCCACGTGGCTTTCACATCTTCTTCTTAAATCTATTTATTTACTACATAAATTTACGAGATTTTGCATATTTATTTATAATAGATGTGTAGAGAAAATAAATAAAATATATGTTTGATGGTATTATTTCTAAGATTGTCCGGATCCGAAGACTTGAACAAGTCAATTTTTTTTCCAATAATAAGTGATACGGAGAGGATCGATCAAGGATAGTAATTTATAATTTTACAAACAAAAAGGAAAAATACTAAATACATGAGGGTAAATTTTGCATGCATGAATTCCTTTAATTCCTATGGACCTAAACACTTGGAAAATTTATTTCCTCTTTAATGGCTTTTCAACGATATCTAATGCTTTGTAATCTTAATGTAAAAATTTTGATACAGTAACATAAGTTCCATAAACATAACAAAATCCAAGGAGTGTCTAAAACCATTCAACATCGTCCACAAATTCGAATTTAATATTATTTCTTCCGAAATTTATTTTTTCCCCGAATATTTTTTCTTAGCTAGCAAGAACATATTTATGAATTTATGAATTTTAACTTACCAAGAAAAACGTATTTATGAATTTTGGAAAAGAACATTTACGACGTGATATTTGACATTTGTCCATCGTGAGATATTTAATTTCTCTCATGTACAAATAAATAGGCCTTAAAACTCTTAATAAACTCATAATGGGCTTTATTGAGAAACTGGGCTTACAAGCCCACTAATGAATATTTACTAAATGGAAAATGGAGCTATGTTCTCTCTCTCTCTCTCTCTCTCTCTCTTCATGACCAAGACTAGGGTTTCGTCATAATCGCCGCGACCAGAGCAGTTCTCAGTTATCTAGGAAGAAGGAGAAGAAGGGTTTCGAAGAATGGATGCGAACATGTTAGCAGGTTTAGATGGTCTTCCTGAGGAAGACAAAGCGAGAATGGGTTCCATGATTGACCAGCTTCAACTTCGTGATAGGTTCGTGCTCTCTCTCTCTACTTCTATTTCGAATTCGCCATGATTTTCTTTACACCCTTTGTTTAGATCCATCCAATAGAGTCTTTCCTCATCAGGGTATGTCGAAAGTTTCGATTCTTTGGAATTTTGGAAGAATTTCGTATATATGTTTTCGTAACTTCGCTCGGTTTATGCACATGAACATCGGGTGTACAGTCTCTGAACCAGTCTGCTTTGTATTTAAATGTGCAAAAGTAGAGACCCTTTTGTAATTTGAAGCTCCGTACTAAATTTCTGAAATGTTAAATGTGAATCAAGATATAGGGTTTACTTGTTTCCGAAGAAAGTAAATGTATGTTATTCATGGTTGGTATTGGATCGAACTCATATGCCATGGAAGGACTGTTGCTTGTCTTCTTTGAGGTTTCTGGAACAAACAAACTTTGAACATATGTTTCCGGTTGGAAGTTCTTTATGCCCGAGTTTTTTATGTATCTTTTTCTCAATGAGATTTTTTGTAACTCAGCGTTTTGATTACCTTTTTGTTGTTTGTTGTGTTTATGTATCCAACTCAACAAGCTTCACATATATATATATTCTCATGAATATTGAGCCACAGATATTGTCTTTGCACCTGTGGCTCTTTAATGGCTTTGAAGCTAAAATGAAAAGATCTCCTTTAAACCATTGCGGCCTCTAATGCCGCTTCTGGACGTTAAGGGAACGACAAATAATGCTTTCTTTGTCTAGAATTTATGTTTCAGTCGATTTTAGATGATGGACTTTATGCTTCTATGAACTGACCGTGTCGGGTCGTTTGATTTGGTTCTGTTGTTAGAATACGGAGCTTTAGGGAAAGCGG